TCTTGATCCAAAACCAAATTCTTCTAAATGATTTACAAGGAAATGTGTAGTAGGTAGAGGGGAGAATTAACAATAGGATCTTTGGAGTTAAAAGTTTAAGACGCTAGTGACCCTTGAAGGCTGAATGTGTCAATATGATTGAAAGGTTTAAAAACTTCACAGAATAGTGCAGATTAAGTAAGAAAAAAAGGTGTTGAATAATTTGGCAGAGTGCACTGAAAATAAAAAAGCCCTAAGAGATGTTGTAATAAAGTATCCAAATAATATGTAATACAGATGTTTATGTATGCTAATTGCATTATTTCTAAGAACCTGTTTGAGGTGGACACTAGTAGGGGTCCTGTGGATTAAGGTTTAATACATTTCTCCACAGACCTGTATTTGGAATGGCAGCCCTGTCGTTGATCACTCCTATAGTTTTTTCAAAGGTTTGTTTACAGTTCAGAGTAGTGTAACCTGTAAGTGCAGAACCAACCTTGATTGAAGGCAAGCTGTTAAAGAACTGTTAAGAGGTGTTGACTTTTTTGTTTTCTTAAATTCCTTCCTCACCAATTACATCTACATGTAAGAGGCTCATGAATTTATGAATTAAATTTTATATTTTATACCCCAAATCTTCAATATATTCTGGAAAATTTTTTAAAAGCAGGAAAGTTTAGCCCAAAAGTGATTGAGTATCAAAGACACCAAAAAAAGGCTTAAGATCGCAAAATTGCCTCATGTGTTTTGGGACAATTTGCAATAAATGTTTGTGTAGCTGACATGTACGCTTGCTGCCAGAATAAATCTGGTTCTGTTGTCCAGCCTAACAAAATAGTGTTACCTCAAATTATTCAAGTAAGTTGCAGTGATTTCTTTTATTGAAAAGTAATGTTTCTTCATGCCATGTTGAATGGTGTCCTGTTAAAATCAACACATTCTCTATGTGTTACTCTGTTACTAGAAATGAAAGGGTCCTCACTTGCCCTTCTCGTTGGGTACCTTCTTGCCTGGAGTTTATGGAAATTGTATTCTTACTTTTAATTGTATGATTTCTGTAAGATTTCAAGTTTCTTTTCATTTCCATCATGTAGAACCAATCTGTTGTTTTTGTTGGATTCTTGGTGTTTGAGTTTTGTGTTGGTAAGATATTGATGTAACTCAACTTAAAAATAAAAGATAAATCAAGTTTTATCTCCACTCGGCTTCTGGTTTGTGGAGGAATGGTAAAATTTACTATGGATAAACTCTAACAGGCAAAAACTGAGAAGGGTACTGTACCCTACCATCAAAACCTGACCCAACTCAGTACCCCAAAAAAGTATTTCTCTCCCATAACAAGCATGCTTGTGGTGCTTTAAGCACAACAAGGATCTTGTGTTTTTCTTTTTGTTTTGTTTTGTCTTGTCTTTTCTTTCTAAGCTAATCAGGAATAGGTTTTTCTTCCCCATGCTCCATAAAATGAAGAAAAACTCGTGCCGCCCTCTCGACCAATCAGATGCAGAGCTAAGTACTTAGTCCTTCGCGTCTGCTCGCGGCTGATTGCTTGAATTCACTGCGAGTTTTCATTGGCCTCTGAAATTTTTCCTTATTTTGATTGGCCATTGTCATTTATTTGGTTGTGGTTTCCTTGACACTGCAAAGAAAAACAGCCCATTATTTTTTAATTAGAAGGATACCACTAAGCTTGCCACAATTCATTAAAATGGCAATTTATGTTTGTTTCGCTGAGCTATGATGTCATAGCTTGTTGCCTTTTTTTTTCTTGAAGGAGTCTTCTGGCCAGCTATGGGAGTGCTGAGAAGTAAATACGTCCCTGAATCAGGTAATTGTTATTTATCTTAACTTTTGGAAGCTTTTTTTTTAAATTAATTCTGAGTTTGACTTTAGAGAATCATAATTAAATAGGTAAAGCATCTTGATGGAATGATGTATGTGTTGGGAACCCGGAAGGAAAGATATTCGATAAAAATTTCGTCGAAGGGAGATATCTGGTTCAAGTAAGATACTCGATGTTAATTCTTTTCTTGACTTGTGGTGTGGAGTTTAAGAATCTTTTCCCAAAATTTGACTGTCATGTTTCCTCTTCATTTTCAGCTCGTGCTACTGTCATGAACATATTTCGTGTTCCTTTAAACCTTATTGTCATCACTCTTCTAGTTCAGGTTTGTTTGCGCGCTCTGCGATGGTTCAGCTTGTTGTTTTTCAATCAACACAGATCTGCGGTTATCTACCGATTACATTCGCATCAAGCTGTGCGCAGGTATTTTTTTATTTAACAAAATCTATAGACTGGATTGTTGTTTTAGGCAAATTTTCCGGCTCGCGTTGCTCAATCTGCATAGATCCGAGATTATCTACCGGTTACACTAGCATCAAGCTATGTGCAGGTGGTTTTGTAGAAAGTATAGAGAGAGACTGAAATGCTGTTGACGGAAATTTTTCTTATTTGGTTCCTTAAATAGCGACTGCTTTCATCTGATCAGAGAATAGCGTAAACCGTAACCGTGACACGTGAATTCTGTGACCTCAGAGCTTCTCAAATATCTCATAATTTTAAAATACAACGGTTAAATGTGAGAGAGAGTTACGTGTGCACGGATTTAAAATTCATCATCAACTGGGTCGTTAGCGCTGCCTGACACGCTTTCTCCACTCGCGGAAAGATTTGAAACAAGTCGGGGAGAGATTCACCAGGGGTTTGGCACTCATTGTCAGTACCAGACCCAGTGTAGTCCTCTCGTCGGATCACGTTGCTCATACTTTCCCGCGGGCGAAGAAGCACTCGTGCTGATGCGATGATAACAAGAGTCTGCTCGAACGATTAGAGTTAGAGTCCATGCCTTTCTCCACGTTGTGGTGGTTACCTAAATCTTTGTCTAAAAATGATCCCCTAGCAGAGAGGAAGGTTCCCTTAATAATATTGCCATTTGTGCCCCCATGTACTTGAAGCAAATACGTTATAAACGTTTTGCAAAGTGGTTTAAACGTGAAACTAAAGTCAAAGAGGCACGAATTTCACGGAAATAGCTGTAATGTTTGTCATATATTTAGACAGTGAGAAAAAAATATTTTTAAGGGAATTAACTTGTACTTTTTGATCATTAATCAGATGGACGGTTCTCTCTCAACAGGACTTGTACCTTCCATCGGTGTTTTTTTGTTGTGTGGTGTTCTTGTCCATCTGTTGTGCCGTGCAGCACTGGTTATATCACTTATCTTTCCGTTTTTCAACTTCTACAGATGACGTAAAAGGTGAGTCGTTGACATTAGACTGATAAAACCTCATCATTTTCACTCTTTACAGCATTGATCAAAGACGAATTGCAACCCCTCGAATATTTGAAATAAATTCCTTTACATCTAACTCGTTTCATCTCTTCCTATGTCAACATTACCGACGCTGTTTTTTTGGATAAACGACGAGAATATAAAAGAAAATGTTTGAAAAAAGAACAAAATAAAAAGAAGTGAGAAAATATTAACGAAAATATATCTCGAGCACAATATCAGCTAAGAAGTCCTTCTCCCTTTTACTCGAATGATAGTCACTTTTTGGAACTTAAGTGAATATGCGCAACTGGTGTCACATGTGAATGTAGTAATGGCCGCTTATCGTAGTCTCTGTGGCTTACTTTTAGAGCATCGGAGCCTGGAATCTGAAGGTTTGACGTTAGATTCTTCATGGGGACTCCGAATTTTTTCTCATTGTTCCACGTTCATAACAAGACCGAGACACATTTTTCTTTTTTAAGTAATCGCGTCTTGTTAATTCATGTACTTTTCTTTTCAGGAGAAGCGCATTCAGAAATTTGTGACGTCGTACGTACAGTATAGAGCTGTTACGTGACATAAGCCAAAGAGAGAGCCTATGGTTATTCTGGTAAGAAATTAAAATCTTAATTTAAATGTCGTACACATAGACTAAACAAGGTTCCTAAAGAACTTAGTGTTTAAATAACTCGACATAGATAAGAGAGGTACCGTTGTGGATGATCTTTTTGCAACAAGTTATTTTTTCTCTTAAATATAATCTAACCTCGAGATCGGAAGTTCTGAGGGTCGAATTGTCTTTGAGTCTCACATTGCGTCTTTTTGCCGTGGTCGTGACAGATGTCCACCAAATTTATTAAGAGTTTTAAATGAATACCACACGTCTTTCGCGGCTCTGCTTAAAATCAGGTGGGGATTTCAGAATGGCCATCCACCATATGGTGTATGAAATGTCTTGTAAAAATGCTGAATTCATCATATCTTTTCGATATGTAACCGTCTAGTCATTCTTCTGAAACATGTTTCCTTTAGTCAAAGTTTTTGGTTTTTTTTTTTCGGCTTTTATTGAAGCTTAGACGTAATGACTGGTACTTTGTTTTGATGAATAACAGGAACGAATGTCCATTTCCTTTTCAGGAATACCTGAAGTTGTCTTCCTAAGGGTCAAAAGAAGGATAATCAACTTTTTCTCATCCGAACTGATTAAAAGTTTTTCAAGTAGTTGTTAAAATATTACGAATCAGTCCGTGACTCTTTTTTATTTGGAACCGATTCGCTTATTAAAATTTTAAAAAAAGTTATGAATTGTCTTTGGGTATCACATTGTCTTTTTGCCGTGCCGTTTTTTTTTTTTTTTTTTTTTTATTCGGCTTTTATTGAAGCTCGGACGTAATGACTGGTACTTTGTTTTTATGAATAACAGGAACAAATCTTCATTTTCCTTTCAGGAATACCTGAAGGTGTCCTCCTAAGGGTCAAAAGAAGGATAATCTACTTTCTCTCATCCGAAGTTTTTTATGTAGTTGTTAAAATATTACAAATCATTCCGTGACTCTGTTTAAATTTGGAACCGATTTGCCAATTAAAATTTTTAAAAAAAGTTTTTAATTGAAGAACGTGAATCTGCATAAGTTGAAGGTTATATTGCACGTGAATAGATTCACGCAAGAAAGCTGAAGAGGAGGTCAATTATAGAAACCCACTGTAGTGGTTCGTGTTGGTCCAGTAAACATGCCGGAGGAACAACTTGAAGCCATTGTTTTATAAGTGCATCGAACCAATCAGATGACAGAAATGAAATAGTCTATTTGTATGCGAATATATGACGCACTTGAGAAAATTAAGGAGGTTCATAACATATAATCATAAGAGCTTTTTACTGCGAAGCATTTATTCATAAGCTGCTCAGTCTCCGATGAATATTGTCTACTTGTGATACATTAGCGCTCTTCTGACGATTTCGAAATTCAAAATGTCTCACGGCGGTCATTCGCACGGTGGGGACGGAATGCACGGTGGTGAACGTCCAATGCTGACAACACACGCGTCTACCGCAGCCATGGATCATCACGGAGGAAGCTCAAACCACGGTGATCATAGCGGGGAAATGGCCGGGCATGTGGTGAGGAGTTAACAACGGCTAGCTTTTACTTCATATTGTTAAACTACTTTCTTAAAAATTTTCTCAAACAATTTCAATTTGATAAGCCAGGCCCTCCGAGAAAGAGCCTTACTGAAAATAATGAGGCCACTGTTGTGTTTGCGCTTTTCATATAATGTCTAAATTGCTATATAATACGGAGATTCTCGGTTTCGTGAGCACTGAAGAGAAAATAGACTTCACCCGGTTGAAGGAACTATTTCAAAGAAGGTTATCACAGTTTCATCACAAGATCTAAATAGCAGTTACTTTATTCCGGCTGCTCCTTTTGGACTTATTCCGGAACGCACAATCACAAGTTAGTTTCATGCGTAATTTCTTTACTTCATTTCTATTGGGAATATTTCCACACGCTAGCATGGACATAATAAAGTGATCGTTACCTCTGCGACCACTTCTTTCATTTCTAAGGTAGAGGTTTGTCTTTAACCGACCCTTGTTGAAGTCCTGCTGCTCTGAAATGGCGCATAAAAAAAACTTCCTACTTCTCTGAAAGTACAAATACCAGAAAAGCAGTTGTGACGCGAAAAGAGAGGTCGATATCAGGAAAGTTTAGTATGCGAGAAAGAGGAAGCGTATATCAAAATCGGGGTAAAAAATAAAGCTCTCGTATCAAGTATGGCTGTTTTATATTACTATTTTTGTGCACGCTTATATAGAACAAAGTTGTTTGGTTAGCTGCCATACTTAAGCTTTTGTTTAAAGGGTTTTTTGTTCTTGTTTAATAGCCCATTCCTCCGTTTACAGTGTTTTAAGTATATTACTAATGACTTGATAACCTTGCAGTAGAAAACATACTTTTTTTTAAATAGATCAAGGAAAGGATCCTCAAATCAATCCACTTTGTTTAACAATGGTTAAGTTTTCTGACAAGAGAATTTCGAAAGTTAACAAGGCCACTCGTTTGCCAAAGTATTTTGTCGAAAACAATATGCGAATGAAGACCTCGTTGGTCTACAAAGGCAAAAAGATAATTAAGACGTAAAAGCCAATATGAATGCCTTTCGTGTAAATTGTAAATGAACAAATAACATTTAATCAGAACAAGATCAGGCTTGTTAAAAAAACAAAGACTTGAATGAGCTATTCGACGCAAAGTGTGAAGACACAAACCATTGTTTCTGAGGGTTTGTGAGAGAGGTACGTTGATAATTGCAGCGCGATTCTGACATAGCTAATCTACAAAGATTTTAATTCCAAATATTGGTGATTGTTTGTTTGTTAAAAATATATATCGCCCACGAAACCGGAACAACGCAATATATTTTTAAAAATAGGCACGTACTTGCGATAGAAACTTTACTTTGTTTTGTTTGTGGCGGTCATCTGGTCAGTCTGATACGTGCTTCGATGGATGACCTAGCTCGGTTAAACAATCCCCCCGGGGCATCGATATTTAAATTAGTTACGCATTCAATAACTGAGCAGTTATTATGTAGGAAGCAAGAATGAGCAGAAGCGCAAAAATCTTCCGTTATTACGAACATAATCAACCAGTTTAATTAGAATGGTTCTGTTCTCTTTAGTTGTTTTGTTTGAAATGCACCATGGAGCTGCACTGGAAATATGGAAAAGTTGTTAGAGGTGTATATCAAGGTGCTTTCCCAGCTCGATACTTGGCAAGTCGGTTCTTATTCCGAACTATGAAATTCCAAAAAACTTCCTAATTTCTCCCTGCTCTGTTTGTTTCCTTTTCTTGTTTGTTTGTTTTCCGAGGGTACTTTGGTGTGACGTACTATTTACAAAACTGATATTGGCGACCGTAAAAAAAAAGCATTTTTTCTTTTTGTTTTCCCACTTCTAGACAGGAACGCAATCTGTCGGACACTTCGTGGTGTATAAAGCTTCACTCTTTTCCTGTCTTGGTTTCCTCTCGAACCGATCACACCAAAGTGTTGAGTCAGATCCACTTAGTTTTGACACACAAAACGTTTTTTCCGTCACTCTACAAACACTTGATCATTAAGGCATCACAGTGTTGAGAGGGCTTGAAATTGGGAGGCTGGACAAGACACTTTGAGCTATAATTATTTATACATGCTCAGCTGAACTATAAACCCATTTCGATTGGTTATTACTCATGATCTACTAAAGGACAGTCCCATAGATGACGTCAGCATTAAAAACCTTTTGCTTTTTCATCATATAAAACAAATAGATTTCATGTTAATGCCGAGCGTCTGTTCAGTAATAGATAAAAGTAGTCAAAATGTGCTAAGAACACCAGTGGCCCACTTGGCTGAACTTCACGTACCACTGTTTTGTTCTCACCACATTTTGACGCCATCTGTGATCTGGACCGATGTTTATTTTCTGTTCACCCCAATCTTGTTTCTTATATTCCCTCTCCATATGACAAAGGTCAATCAAGCCACGAAAACAAGTCAAATATTTCAATTCCAACGTCCACTCTGGTAGACAGTTGGCATTTAATTGTCTTAGAATATTTCAAGTATAAGTTTTGCTTCCATTTTAAGATGATGTTCCATCTCAGGAGAGACCTCAGTGTCTTGTTTGAACATTGGGAAATCACTTCAACGAAAGGTAAGTATATTGATAAGCAATGAAACGATTGTGAAAGTGATAAATTTACGATAGAGTTTCTAGGTCGATATCACTCTTAATACACCAACAACATGATCTCGGTGCAAACGGGATGATATATACTTCAGATTATTCCAATGTTCCTAAGCTTCCGAGTTAAAATGAAAGCTTGAATAAAACTTAAGAAATACTTGAGGGAATTGCTGCGTAAAGTAGAAAAACGAATGTGAAGACATCAAATTCTCTACTGGATCCTAAGATGAGCATGTTCAAGTTCTGTTAATGTTATATTTCCACTCGTCACTGATGGCATATGCGCTCAACTCATGAACAAAAAGCTTTATTTTGGTGGCCTTATAACTGAAATCCACAAAAGTAAAGAGGGTAGATGTACATTACGCAGGCCTTCGTTCTAACAAGGCGATGGACCAGTGCTTACACTCCCCATTTCTTTCCCTTCCCAATTACAGTGTTGATTGGCTCATGTGTTGCAGTATTTTTCTTGGCTGTACTCTATGAAGGCCTAAAAATCTTCAGAACAAGGCTGATGCATACACATAGCAGAGATGCGAGGGAAAGCAGTCGTGGAAAAGACATCACATACTGTGGGAAAACTCGACGGGGTTGCAGGTGAGACGGTGATTTGCTGGTGTGAATTTGTATTTCGTGCCGATTGGATTTTCATCACAAGGTTGGGGGAGGGGGGAATAAAGAATGCACAATAATACTAAATTTTCTGTCGTTATTAGACAGAACATGTGCACATGCCATAATTTGGTGCAAACCATAATGCACGTCGTGCAAGTAGTGCTGGGATACCTCCTCATGCTGGTAGTTATGACGTTTCAAGTGTACCTTGGGGTTGCTGTCATAGTCGGAGCAGGCCTGGGCTACTTTCTGTTCGCAGGATTCGCTCCTGAGAACAATCCCAAGGAAACAGAGTCTTCTGCAAATTCCGGACATGGGAGTCCCGCCATGATGGTAAAAGTGACCAATTTAGACGAGATAAGGAGTCAACAGTCTATGGAAAACCTAAGTTTTAATAATTTGGCCATTAAAAATAGGGCGTTTGATGGCGGAAATATTGAAGGTGAAAAGTAATTTTTTGACAAAGTCTGAGAATAGTCAGAATTTGTGCTTTGGAAATTCATTAAACTGAGAAGACCTTGATAGTATATAAATTTTTAATTACTCAGACATACAGAATTAATATAATTATTTTTCAGAAACAAGAAAAGCCGGAATAGACTCATGTTCTGTATGCGTAACATAATATCATTAAATTGGAAAAAAAGGTCGAAAACAGCTTGCTCAATAAATCAAAACAGAGCTTTATTTTGTATAATTTCGAAGTAAAATAACTTATTAATTGACATCCGTATATCATTTTCTTGATCTGCAAGTATTAACAGTTGCCGGGTTACAAACTTAAGTAGCCATAGCTAGATCATTAAGAGTATTTAGTTATAAATTGTTCCTCTCCCACTCCACACGCCTCACCGGACGGAGTTAGTTCGTCCTATGACTTTCCATAAAACTTCAGTCAGAGGGTGCTGTTCTGGTAGGTTGATTTAACACCAAATTCTTTTGAATAATTAACAAGATAATCGTGTAGTGGTTACAAGGGAGAATTATCTTTACCACGGAAATGAAAGGATTCTTTTTTGTGTGTCCATCGCAGGGGAGTATGCATTAATAATTTTTTCAACTATGAATGAAATCCTGACGTCTGCAAATTCACATGGCTTTGAATTAGAATTTTCATCAGTTTTCCCCTTTTGACTTGGTTCCTCTTTTAGAGAAATGCTTAAAACAGTATTTGGGTAGTATTTGGAATTTCCACCCGCAGTCAAGCTATCGTGCAACTCAACTCTTCAACGACTCTGGCGGATGCCCTGATTTGGTTAAAACGGCGACTCCACATCCCCCATTTCTACGTAAACTGACTTAACTTGCGTGTAATATTCAATGGTGTCTTCACCCAGTTCGCGACCCACGCCAGACTTCTTGTATCCACCAAAAGGAACCTCGACCGGTGTTAAATTGTAATTATTGATCCAACAGGATCCTGCTTGAAGATTAGCAATAACACGATGAGCTCGATTGAGATCTCTGCAAAAAGATATGAAGGATTTCGTTTGAGAGCACACGCAAAGTTTCGTGTCCACGTAATTTTACATGCAAAGTTTTGAATGGTTGCTCTGGAACGGGATGAAATCTGGCATTTCTTTTCTCTCTCTCGGTAGTCCGTTTTGAGCTTAATCAGTAATTTAAGTTTATAGGCATAGAGTAAACATTGATAAATTAAGGCGATGTAGATGGCCCGTGCAGCTGGAAGATTTGTGGGAGTTTAACCCCTGTACTCCCAGAAAGGATTAACATGAAACGTCTCCCTATAATGTCAAGACATAAACCAATAAACAGGTAATGAGAATATTCAAACTTATCCGGTAGAAGCTGCTATCTTGATTTAGCAACAAGTTCTCATAACTAATTTACAAGTGAATGTTGAACAACTGGAGGGGAGAATTGACAATCAGATCTTAGGAGTTAAAGGGTTGATGCGCCATCACTACAAAAGCGACCAGAAATTCTATTAGGGGAATGGAGAAAGGAAAATTTGTATCTCCCCTGGATGCTTCACAGTTGGTTTTCGCCGCTCCACCGCCTCCATTTTAATAGAACCATAAAACCATCTGCTACACAAGTTGATTTATAAGAAGTGAGAAAAGGGTGTGGGAGTAACTCTTTGCCAATTAGCCGTTGGCTGGCGCTATGACGATGGCATTTCCTCATCCACAAGGAAGTTTCGAGGAGGTCTCGAGCAAAGCGAGCTGGCGCGAGTGTTACAAGGGGTCTGGCACTAATAGTGAGGGGCCCTCAATGTAAGCTTTGCTTTGTTGCTAAAAGCTGGTACAGCTGGAAAAAAAAAAATGAAGGTTATAGACGTAGACTCTGACACAGGGGCCACACATATAACCACTGAGGTTACGAAATGAGAATGAATGGGTCCTCAACCCCACTGATCAAATGACTAACTACTTCCCCATTGTATCGTCTCTCAGACACAACCCCTCAAATGCACTCTTACTTTGTAAAAACTCCTGCAGCCAAACCAAAATCAGTGTTGTTGGCTCTCTTAACAGCTTCTTCTTCAGTGTCAAATGGCAGCACTGTCATAACAGGGCCAAATATCTCCTCCTTAATAACTGTCATATCGTCTGAACAGTCAGTCATCACACATGGTGACATGTAAAACCCATTGGCCAATCTGGGTTCCTCCAGTTTCAGGCGTTCACCTCCACAGAGAATTTTGGCGCCCTAAAAATCGACTATGCTTTATTGTTAGTTTTTGTGTTTTAAAGACCTGTCATAGTTTACAGAGTAAATAGACTTCCACACTGAGAAACCAGAATTTCTTCCTCACTTTGCCAATTAGCCATAGCTTTGGCAAGCATTTCATTTGCTATTGGAAATATTAAAGTATACCAGAGAAATTATTTAGGAGTTATTTAAAGTTTTTTTCTTTTCCAAAGTCTTTTAAAATCAATGTACCCTAAGCTATTCATAAGATGGTCTCACCTCTTTCTTTCCTAATTCCACATAATCAAGAACTTTGTGAAGATGTTCCTCAGAGATCAATGCTCCCATCTGAGTGTCAGGGTTCATGGGGTCACCTACTCTGATTTTTTTAGTGCGCTCCACAACTCGGCTCAGAAATTCATCCATGATGCTCCTTTCAACAAATACCCGAGTTCCATTGGAACAAACCTGTTGAAACAAACAAATACATTAGTAATACATACATAAGTAACTATACAAAAATTCTTAAAATAATTCCTTACTAGACAGTGCTTTGAGAATCATGTGTGGTATATCAAAATATACCATTTACATTATATTGCAAACAGATGCACCTTGCAGACCCCTATTGCCTTGTGAACTAATAACAGAACACTAGTTGTGTTCATGGAAAATAGAATTTTTGTAAAAATAATGAAACGATTGAAAAAATTCAGTTTTATACCTCTCCTTGTGTAAGGAAGTTAGCCATCATTGCTCCCTTAACAGCATTTTCAAGGTCAGAGTCAGCAAAGACAAGAAGGGGGGACTTGCCTCCCAGCTCAAGAGTGACATGTTTGACACCAGCTGATGCATCTGCCATGATCTGCAGAAAAAGTACACATACATGTAGAGTGTAGATACAATACAAACAAAAACCATATGAAATCAGACCTAGAAATGGGTTTACTCAAAGAGAATAATCATGTGGGAGGTGCAAGGGGGGCTTTTTCAAGTACATACCATGTTAAAGACCTCTGGTGGATAAAATCCGAACAAACATTGTGTATTACACAGTATCACTCTCAGGAATCACATTTTACCACAATGTCCTTGACATAGACACATTTTTTGCCCCATTGTGCTTCATGAAACCTCACAAAAAGACCTAGTCAAACCTTAAATACATTATTAGACCTACAAGAAGTTGAAAAACTCTTGAAAAAAGCCTCTAAAGCTTATTTTCCCCACCTTAGAAATAATGTTCAAAGAAAAGGGATTGGTGAGTCTCCATCAAAACCTATCAACCTAGAAATTCTGGCAAACATTTTCAACCAGCTAAGAAAAGAAAATCCCACTCAATTTCAACCCATACTATAAAGGAAAATATAAATTGACTGTTTCCTAAATTTGATAACTCATCTGTTAGCTATTTCTTTCACAAAGATTACCTTTTGTCCAGTGGGTACAGATCCAGTAAAGGAAATTTTTGCAACATCAGGATGTGATGTTAGCAAATGGCCTGTCACTCCTTCTCCCTGAATAACATTTAAACCACCATTAGGAAGCCCTGCTTCAGTGAAAATCTCAGCAATAAGAACAGCAGTCTGGGGTGTGAATGGGGATGGCTTGAACACAATTGTGTTTCCACAAGCTAGGGCAGGAGTAGATTTCCAAACACAGATTTGGAATGGGTAATTCCAAGCACCAATTCCTGAAAATGCAAGAGACAGTAGATGTTAGTTTATAAACACCTAACTTGTAAAACTAAGGATTCTTTGTAATTTAACACATGTAAAGTATTGTGAAAAAACAATAGTATAATGATTAGCTGTAAAGAGACTCTGGTCTATAAGGATCAGGTTCAATCCCTGCTGGAGTCATTTAACCTGTTGTGTTCTGAGGTGAGATAGATGTTGCACTGACACCCACCACTGTGGTGTATAAATAACTACACAGCCAAGTGAATCCACAACAAATCTTGGTGGCTGTGATGATGAATATCATTGTTGATAGGAGTGCAGATCATGCTAAACCACTGTCAATTGGCTTTTTACCACAAAATTGACAATCACCAAAAATTGTTGGGGACTCCCTTGGCTGCACCTCGTGAGTCCACAACATTTTGACCAATGTGAGGATGATTATCGTTGTTGATTAGAGTACAGACCATGCTAAACTACTGTCACTTCATTTTTTTACCATAAAATCAACCTTCAATAAAAACATTTTTTCATTGCATGACACATTGAAGTGAGATGTGTTGTCTGTACTCTTCTTGACAACAGAAAATTGACCAATCAGATCATGGCATTACTGTCAATTGTAATAAAATACCTGGGGGATTACTGGGGGTTACTGATCACTAAGGGATTCTTGAGGAATTAATTATCATAGACTAGCATCTGATTTAGGTGCAGTTTATGTAGAAACTTATCAATTCATTATTTTCATGTTAAGGTAAACAGGGATAAGCTGACAGTAACTTGCTCATTAAGCTCTTATAATTCCTGTACTGGAAGTACTTTTGAAAGGTATCATATGGAGAAAAATTACATTTATCAAACAAATAAAGGTACCAAAAGCTTTAACATAAAATCTGGATATCTTTCTAAAACATCCATGGCTAGGCTTCCCAAATGATTGCATTTTTGAGTAAATGAAAAGGCTATAATTCATATGCTACAATATTTGGTTACAAAATATCATTGTTGCATTACAAATATCTTAGGCCAAACGTCCACACCATGATCATACTAAATATTACTGAGCAAGACAACTACTTATCTTGTTTTCAACCAAATCATTCAGTTTTCTGTGCATCACTTACCTCCTACCACTCCTAGAGGTTCTCGCCTTGTGTAAGAAAAAGATCCATTAGGAAGCTGAATGTGCTTGCCACTAATGGTTGGAGCGAGACCAGCATAATAATCTGTGACATCTGCACAGCCCTCAATATCCCACACTGCTTCATGAAATGGCTTTCCTATTTAATCAAAATTAACAAGTAATCCACCAGGGTCCAGTTGTTCAGAAAGGGAATAGCACTATACAATAGATAAATCATGATCTAGTGGATAAGTGTTTGCAAAAACATACTGGAAATAAATATGAAAGTTATCTTTGCAGTAATGAACACTACCTAAGCAGAAGTGATTCAGGTCTGTGCAGGATTTGAACCCTGACCTCTGCAATACCAGTACTATGGTCTACCAACTGAGCTAACAAGTCAACTGAGAGCTGGTCATTATCTTGGTTCAAAATAAACCCCTGAAGTGATGACTAAATGACTGTGAGTATGGTGCTGGGTTATCCACCAGAAAGTGATTTACCCAGCTGATAGCATTATCCACCCTTTGAACCACCAGGGCCAGCATTACAAAACCCAGTTGAGCGACAAGAATAATGTGGGTGGTACCATGCTGGGAGACTATAGGTTACCATGCCGATCAGTCATTGACTGCTAATAAGTATGTGATCTTCAAGTTTGTGATCACAACCACTAATAACAGCCATTTTTGATTACATGTCAAGAGTAATTCAGAATTGCTTTGGTTTTGCTATACTTTGCTATCTGATTAGTGCAGCAAAGCTTTGCCACATATTCAACTAATCAGCTTCAAAATTAAAACAAAAAGCAAAAATCGTGATGAAATTCAACAGAGTATTATAACACAAGAGGGCTTACTTATCTGAGGTAATATTGATTCCAAGAGTAAAAATTTTTATGAGTAATGGTGGAACAAAAATGAGATGTTAGACAGGTGTGGCAAATAAGCTCACATGTAGGCCTACTAACCACTGAAGAAAAGAGAGGTTTTGTTGCGGGTGGAGGGAGTAATCATTGTGTCCACTAAAACTATCAAGACTGACCCATATTCCTGAGGGCGAATATTGTGAAATAAATAACCTCCAAAAAAACCCGAAAACAAGAGTTTGTAACTAAATATTAACCGATTCAATCATCCTACCGGTGTCCATGACCTCAACTGTGGCTAAGTCTTTGACTCTACTCCGGATAATCTTGGCCGCTTCACGTAAGATTTTCCCCCTCTCCATCCCTGACATTTTGGACCATGAACTGAAAGCCTCTTTCGCTGAGCTCACTGCACGATCTACTTCCTGTTTTCCTGAACCTTGTGTCTGACAGATAATTTTCCCAGTAGCTGGCTCAGTGACATAGATATCGCCTTCTTCTTCCTCGCTAACTGGATTGATCCGATGCCCATTGATGTAATTCAGCGGCTGGCAAGGTTGCCCAACATTGCTCGATAGATTACGGAGAGAGCATAGGAAAAGATAACGTCCATTTCGCAGAAGGGGAGTTCGAGAAACTTGTAATATCATGCCTTTTTCGCAAAATGTACGTTCTTCGATCCAAGTTATTCAGAAGTACAGCGATCTTTCGATGTAACGTTGTACGAACTGACTAGAAATTTGCTAAGCCACGAGAACTAGTGCAAGTCCCTCGCGAGGATGGTCTTATCTCCGTCACGAAAGCATGTCACGCTTAGTCACGCTCATATCAAAGATCATCAAACACTGGGGTCCTCAGGAGCCCACTAATGGGCTCCTGGGTCCTAAACTATAAAACCAGTTAAATGTTTAACGATGAAGTGGAAAAAATCTGTCAAAACTTGAGAAAAAAGATAATGAGCCCAAAATTATCATGTAATGCAACCTACCGTGACCAGCACTTTCGCGAGAGGTCACTTTTAGCGACTGCCTTGCTTTTATGTTTTTTCGCTCCTGTAACTACACATCCAAAAAGAAAATAAAAAGACAGTTGACATCGTTAAGATTGAAGTTAAAAATTCTCTGGAACACGTACGGAAAGGAGGAAACAAAAGGAAATACCATTTCCTTTTACAAATCTAGGTAAGACACCAACTGCTGATCTCTCTTGATGACTCCGAGTAAGAAGAAAAATTGACGGACGTCCTACCAGCTTAAGTCAATTAGTACTATTACCTATTTTTTAGTTGCCAGTAGATTTCTGGGCTGCCATACTTTCATTTGTTAGATAAATAGAGGGTAACCGCTTTTACGTTGACTTATGATGCCTCATTGGGCTTATAGGACCTTATAGCCGTATAGCACTTTCCCCTTAAGACCCAACCTCGTTTCCAGGGCAAGGAAAGCCCTGGAACTGAGTTTGCTTAGATAATACTAATAATTTCAATTCCTTCAGGTACGTTGTTTTTTTGGTCTCTTAAAAAGTGTGTAAAGGGTAAAAAGAAAGTTTTTTACAAGTTCTTTTGACGGACGTTCAAGAATTGTTTGATTAAGTTGACCTTTAATCAAAATTTATACGCTTTTTCTCGTTTTGGATCTGGTGGTGCTACGTAAATTGTAACCAATGAGGGAACTGTTAGCTGTTCATCAAGGGAAGGGTGACTAAACCTTCATGAAAGTTGGAAATCCGATTTAGGCAAAGACGTCAGTGTATATCAAAGAACAGGCTTCAGTTTTTCTCAAAACACTGGAGATATGAATTTTGTGAAATTAGATCCAGATAAACAGAAGTAATTTTCCCGCGTTATTCAATCATTTATGTTGATAGTTTGAAACAAACATTTCGCAGAGCTTATTCAACCTGTAAGAAAACACTAAGCTACTATAGTCTTTTTTGTGTCACTTTTTATCCAGTTTCTGTCAGAATATGAAGAAAACTGTTCTTCATCCGTACGAATTTGGCGAGGGAGAATGAAACAGATACAACACCGTCATTCTGGGAGAAGAAGACGTTCCATGAAATGTCATCAAACAGTTCACACTATTCGCCTCGTTTTAAAGTCAAATATAGGTTACTTCACACGAACAACAGCTTAGCCGTCGCTCGATAAGAATCGATGAATAATCTGACACATTTTTTGGAGAGCCGCTAACTCCTTTTCTAGCTTCTTAGCAGCAGTGGAAAGGTTCTTGCCTTTTACGTAAAATTTGGAGAAAAGGAGGTCTTGTTGTGGAATAATGAAGGATGGAAAGGCTTTATCTTCACAGATACACTTGTGTATTCTCCCGTAAATTCTTCGGATCCATTCGGTTAGACTGCTCCTGTCATCCAGGCCATGCTTCTCTAACTCATAAAACAAGGCCATCTTGAGCCAAAATGAGCAAATTAAAGATTGAGCTTTGAAATTTGCTTCATCATAAAAATATTCTTGGCTGTCTATTAATGCTGGACAAACATCCCGAATAGCCTTCGCTGTGATGTAAGCATCCTTGACGACTTCAGGAAGCTTGTCAAATACCTTGCTTTCCATAAGTGAAAAAGATATTCTTACTTCATTGCCATAAATGCCATGCTCAAAGCGCGGAATGGTCATCGCAAAAAGGCACCGTTTTGGAATGTCTTCTAGCACAGAACTTTGTGGAATTGCACCCCTGGGCCAAAACACCCCGGCATCTATTACTGGCACGAGGTCGACTGAATATAACATATTCTTGTACACTGGGCCATTCCAGCAGAGTTCAATGATGATTGATGGCTTTGGACGGACAATACCTGTATTGGAGCTGGGAAGAACGAAGTTTGAGCAAATCCTGCAACAACTCCACAGGCTGGAATCAAACATCACCAACCTTACAGTTTCCTCGAACTTTGATCTGACCAAATATGGCACGAGATTTCCGTCAGCGTCAAAAAATTCGTCGATATTCGCATTGTCGCTACTTCTTTTCAGACGTACAAAGCCAGGACAGCATGAATCATCGTCGACCACCTCAAAAGAGGAGCTGAATTCTTCAAGACTGCACATAAAGTCGAACTCATCAGGTAGACCAGTTTTAGTTTGCTCTCGAACACTACCAGACATTATCACTGTTGAACGGAAACGCTGATCACGGTCTGCGACTCTCCGAAGAATCTCCACTATCAGGTTTTCTGTTTCTTTGCATATCTGGACCACCTCAGCATCGTGAAGCGCTACTTTACCGATCCTTGGTGTATGAAGAATATGGGACAAGTATTCTTCCATATTTCTCACAGGATTGATTTGCACTTCTGCTGCATCAATTGAAATAGATTCTTCTCTCTTCCTAAATGGTAGATTGGGGTTAGCCTCACCTTCCTCGAGGGCAAAGAAGGCGCATAGTCTACATGAACTATCTGGCACTCTTCTCTCGTGCTGAGATGTCGAACTTCTTTCGTAATTCCTAAGTGACTCCACCATTTCTTGATTGAGAGCCGAAAGTGCACAACTCATGGGACTTTCATCCAGACAGTTTCTTAAAGTGACATCGGTTGTCGCAAGTGAGACTTCCAAATACATGATCACGGCAGTGTTATTTGAGAATTCTGCATAATGCAGTGGCGTTGACATAAAATCGTCACGACCATTGACGTTCCAAGGCACTTCCAAACCTCCGAGCCGCAGTCCTCTGTTCGCGAAAACCATATGCGCCACTGTCACCCCTTGTTTTCGAGCGCTGTTCCAATCGATCTCCTGCAGCACTTTCTCATTTTCGCAAATGCAGTCCCAGGGCAACTGAAATCCCGTCATTTGACTTTGTTGACATGTTGCAGTGACGTGAACAGCTGTAAACCCTTCCGCGTCTTTTGCATTCACGTCTCCTCCGAGCATTATTAACTGCTCCAGCATTTCTGTCCATCTATGAACATCAGCCTCATAACTTACATAATGTACAGGAGTGCGAAGCATTTTGTCAACAGAATTCAAAGATGCTCCATGCTTGAGTAGGACCTCCACGGATGATGCAACCTCAACTTTTGACGCTAAGGAGCTGCGGTTATGTAGCATCAGCACATGTAAAGGTGTCATTCCTTGATCGTCTGATATCGCAGGATCTGCACCATACTCCAACAGAAGTACCAAGGTAACCAAGAGCGCATTCTCGCTGCGGAGTTGAGGCGTTTTCTTGGAACAAGCCATCATCAAAGGTGTCTGATGTTTTTTGTTCAGGGTATTAACAATGACACCAAGCTTCAACAGGACTTCAGCTATTTCGTAAGCGTGATATGAGCTGCAGATGTGCAATCCGTTTACGCCCTTTGAATTGGTGTGATGAACATCTGCGCCATGTTCAATCAAAATGTTTATTTTTGGCAGATTTTCTGCATATTCTTCTTCATCTATACACCCGTAGGCCATGCCACAAGCATACAAGAAAGGCGTGTCACCAAAGTTGTCTTCAGCATTAACTCGTGCACCAGATTGCAAGAGTACTTTCACTGCCTCAGGGGAGGCATTTGATATGCAAGCATGTTGTAAGGGTGTCTTACCTAAAATGCTGCGGTGATTTACCTCAGCACCGGCGTTAAGAAGCATTTTTGCAGCCTCCTCAGATCGGCAATAATATAAAGGCGACTTACCCTCCTTGTCAAGAGCATTTACATCGTTTCCCATACTTATGAGGTATTCAGTTATATCTGGTCTGTTCTGAGCCGATGCCACATGAAGTAAGGTCCACTTGTCGTGCCTGATAATGGCGTTAACCCCGATGTCCTGGCAAACCGTTGTTATATTTTCCAGTGGTTCATGAAACAATTCAGCTATTTCTCGATAGGAATATTTCTCCATATCTCTCACCACTGGATATTCCGTTGTAGTACCTCAATTATCATTTATCACCGACTACTATCCGTCAAGCGATCGATATACTTCCATGAAAGGTCGCAACGTAATGTCTGGTTGCTTACGAAAGTTAGGTCAGCATTAAGTTATCGGTATCCTAGGACGCTGTACAATTACGTTTCACAAGAATAAATTCCAGGATGAAAGAGAAATAACATACGTAGACGCAAAATATCTTAACCTGGAAGGCAAAATATGGCTTCACTCTAACAACTTCCGGCTTCTTAAAGCGAAAGAGACTAACGTCATAAATGCCGATCTATAAGTTCCAAGCCCTTTTCGGCTTTCAGCATCCCAACGAGGCGAGACAAAGGACGTCTTCCGGTTCATAACTCAAGGTCGAGTCGGTACCAGGCCTGAGTCGGTACAGCGGAACCTCGATTTAACGAAGTGCTAAGGGACTGGGGAAATTGGTTCCCTATATCGAGAGTTTGTTCTATCGAAATTTGCGGAGAAACAACCAAAATGTTCGTTAAATCGAGGGATGGTTAATTGTTTTTTTCGTTTTTTGTGGTGTGACGTCGCACTACCCAGCGTTTTGGGATCGGAACGATTACTGTAAATAGCGTTTGTGCTTTAATGTCTACATGACGCCGTACAGGTCTGTACATAGCTACAGCACCCTGTTTTTAAAGCAAGGAGCACAAATTTCGGAGCAACTGCAGAATACCCTGCCACTTTGGTCCACCTCATTTACATGTGTCGGGAGACTTTGAAGATCGAGGCATGACACAATAAACGTTATTCTTATTCAGCGACATGTAAATGAGTGGCAGGGTATTCTGTGGCGTAGTCGTGGGTTTCATGATAATCACAAATCTCGTTGTTTTGTCATTGCGTTACTGGCTATCTTAGAATTTCCTACTATACTGACGCAAATGTAGTAGCCATTAAGTCATTACGTTACTGGCTTTAATTTTTTATGGTCGGTAATAATATATACCATCCGACAAACTTAGTGGCTTCAAGAAATGCTCGTATGTATAGACGAACAAAATTACGAATGTCGCCGTTATCTCAATACCGTCGGTATTTATAATGAGCTGTTACCTGTGAAGTTCTTCAGATTGAAGGCTTTTGATTCTTGTTGGTCGGTTTCGCGTTTGTCTTTTGTCACGTGTTGACATTTGTTCGTTATATTGGGGTATAATATGCGTTTGGGCTTCTGGATTGTTTGTTTTAGCGAGGATTTCGTTAAATCGAGGTTCGTTTTATCGACGTTTTCCCATACATTTTATTGTAACTTTGGTCGGGCTGATCAGCATCGTCCGTTATACCGAGGACTCCGTTATCAAGAGGTTCGTTAAATCGAGGTTCCACTGTAGTTTGATCTGTTTTCTGATCTGGGTTTTTTTTTACGATTTTGTTTTAGTTTTCTTCCAGCACAAACTTTTTACAAAAAGCCAGACAACGGGAAAAAATGCTACGTTGAAAAGAGAGAGAAAAAAAAAACACAAATCCAACGAAAAAAGGGATCAGTGTGGCCCTCTTGCCTCCTACTTGTCAATCCATCCATGCTTTGGATTGTCCAAGGCAGCATACACTTAAGAAAATGTCAAACAAACCATACATACAAAAATCTAATTTATAAAAAAAAATTTTATTATAGTTATAACTCAAGCTTATTTCTTTTCCACCCCGGAATAGGGTTACTTGAATTCTATGCTTTGGATTGTCCAAACCAACGTACACTAAAGCATTTGTCAAACAAATCCTACATACAAAAATCTAATTTAATTTTTAATTTAATTCTAATTCATATATTCTTAACCGTCTAAAAATCTAATTTATAAAAAAATTTTATTATGGTTATAACTCAAGCTTATCTTTTCTACCCTGGAATAGGGTTACTTGAATTTACTTCGTGTTCTCACTGGTGTCTCTTTTGTCCTCTTTCCTTTCTTATTTTCAATAAACTTAATTATAAACTGACTTAATATCGATAAAGGAATGCATCTTGTTTTCTATGTTACTAGTATGTTTAGCCCAACAAAGAAAAGTCTGACTCCTACAAATGAATAATGTTGATCAGGCGTTGATATACAAACCCTATATTGGTCATACAACAAGAAATAATCCATCAATAAACAAGTGCTTATTAAGTGTATCCACTTATAAAAATTCTTAATATTTCTTAAATAGCCAGAGTTGAGATATTTCAGCTTGCTTCTTGCTTTTCAGCAATTGCAGCTATAGGCTTACAATTCTTGATGTTACTCTTAAACAAAAGAGACAAGGGAAGCCATTGTGAAGGCAATACCTATTTCATTGTGCTTCTGATTACCTTAGAAATCCAGTACTGATGTCTCTAAACTGAAAAGCTATCATCATTCTAATCAAAACTATAACAAAATTCTTGAAATGTGGTTGGTCATCACCAGCCCAATTTGAGCACTAATAAGGCAGGGTACATGTCATGCTTGTAATTGGACAGTGTAATAGGATAGTTACAGGGACAGTTAACAAGTCATGCTATGTTAGTGGACAAAACACATTGTGCATGTGCGCTGTTGTCTCACAATTTCCAAGTTAATTGTTTATGTTTTTTTTTTTTTTAAGAAAATGTATAAATGATGTTTACTTTCTTTCTCGAATTTTTTCATAGTTTTGATTAATTGACAGGACCAATTCTGTCTGTAATCATACTTGTGATTAACAAATCAG